GGCTCACCCGCCTCTCTGGGCAGAGTCTTTATCTCTGTCACCATCTGGAGGAGTTTGCCTATTCTCCCCACATCTTCTTGGTGTACAGGCAGCTCCAGAGGAGGTGATTGACTGTTTCCTCCTTCCACCAGCACATTTGCCTGGGGCAGTCTGGTGAACCTCTCTGCCCCTCTCCGTATCTCTGCATCTGCACAAGGAGTGCCTGGTGGGTTTCCTGCCAGTTGAAGTCTCTGTGCTCGTTCTGCAGGTCCTTATGGAACATTCATTCCCACAGTGGCCTGGCAGCTGTCCATGGGCAACAGTCTGTCCCTTGCCCTTACCACCTCCTGCATCTTACAGTGGTTTTTCAGAGTTTCTGGAGCTTCATTGTATACTTCATATCTGTTTCAGAAGTGCTCCAGGACCTTGTAGAACCATGACAGCTCCCAGGTCCACACGTGTGCTTTGAGTGGTGAGTACACCCACCAGCGTCACAGCAGGTCCCCTGCATAGTATCTCACAAAGTGGGCTGTTTTACAGTCTGCTCCAGTTGCCAGTTTACAGATCTGGTTTGTGTATTTATCCCAAAGGAACCACCCTCAACCCCTGGTCTTTTTCTTCTTGTACAGTCTGGTCCTCACTACTTTCTCCCATATGGAGACCCAGAAGAAAACACACATGGCTCTCTGCTCTCTTCAGATGGTTTCTATGAAGGCAGGGGAAGACCAGTGTGGTCTACAGAAGCACTAATATTAACATACCTTTCATAAGCACTTCCCCCTCTTCCATCATCAGGTGGTACATGTTCCATAGTCCCAGTCTCTGTTTGACCTAGGCCTCAGTCTTCCCCCACACTTTCTGTCCAGTCAGCTCTGGGTCAAACTCCACTCAAGGATTTTAACCCTTTCATGGTTAAGATACCCAAGGCCAACCCTAGTTCTCCAGGGTTGATAGATCCCTGGGTTTACCCAGTGCCAGGCAAGTGCTCTTGCTCAAGTTGAGCTTGCCCCCTGCTGCTGCTCTGTACACTTTGATGTGTTGTAGCACACTTTCCATTGAGAATTTATCCCTACACAGGACATTGAGATTGTCCATGTAGGCCAGGATTTTTCCTTTGCCCCAGTTTTCCTAAGAACCTCCACTCCAAGGATTCCAGGGTCATCCTTGAGTTGCTAGGCTAGCAGTTCCATATATAGTACAAACCATGCACGGTATTATTCCAAAGCTAAAAAACACATGATTTACTATATAGTTAATCAGGCTGGCCCCCAGCAAATTCAACAGCATTTCAAGCCATGCTGACCCTGCAGCTCAGCATTACTTAGTATGCATGTGTGTGTACTCCAGATACCCGCCACAAAGGATCCCTGTACTTATTAGTCCCCCCACTCATGATGGGAACCAGGTGTTCTTGTCATGAGTCCTTGGATCCTCCAAAAATGTCTATGTATATGAGGTGCAGGGCAACTTGGTCTGGCTTCACCTCACGGAGGCTAGGGCCACACTAATCATTGTGACAAGCTGAGGGAAGGAGCAACACAGGGCTTGGTGAAGTGTTTGGGCCCTGTTTCATAATGTTTGACAGACATCTAAAGTGGGGAAGAAACAGGAATGGGAAAAAGGTACAGCTCAGCTGTAGGATTGAAGACATAGTCTGAATGTATTCAATGTAGTGGCTCACCATGACTTTAAAAATTAGTTGGTCCTGAGGGGGACTGCATTTAATGCACAGTACCATATATCTTATTCAGATGGGGTGCATTGGCCTATTCTTGTGGTAGGCTCCCATCAGCATCTTGGACTTTTGACTATGATCAAGCACTTTTGGCACCAAGGGGAGG